CCCATGCTCGTTGGTGAGCTAGAGCCATTTTTCAACTGACAGAGCTCAATATCAAGGCAAATCCGTCATGTTTTCAATATGCGCGTGCACAAGCGCGCTAATGATGCCATAAATTATGGGCAGTAAGGATGCGCAATGCAAATGTGAGGAATGACCTTAAACCATCACAAATAATGTGTACCGAAGAATCAGCTGTAGGTGATAATAGCCATACCAGGACAAAATATTTTTTAAGCAACTTGTACATGGTTGAACACTTTTTACTTTTTAGTGCAATTTTGAATGGTGAATGTCTTGAAAACCAAAACCAGTAATCACTCCAGATAGCCAACCAGAGGACACAGACAATCCAACAAACCAATCCAAACTTGCAGTAAATACATGTACAGTGTAGCTGATGCCAAGCTTCGAAAAATGAGTATGAGTGAGTCACCGCGATTTTTCTTTTTTATTTATTAATTGTGTACATGTATGTAACTGTTATTAATTGTATTTATCATGATTGTATTTAAGTAATACCATGCATAGAAATGGGAATTCTGGAATAATGTTCTTGTTGTTGTTTTTGTACTTCTGATTGGATGACAAAGTGGTACAAGTTTTTTAAGTCAATCACACAGCATAATATATACAGTATAAATTATTATTTTTTGTCAAGTAAAAACAGTCTAAAAGTGAAAACTTCTCTTGACTAGAAGTCTTGAGAAAATTGTTTATGAATACTATTCCAATACCAATGGGCATTCAGGGATGCAGCTAAGAAAAAAATCATCAGGCTTATTAACAAGCTTGGCCGGCTTTTCTGAACTAATTTGCACGATGCAATTCAGATTAACCTTGGTTTCCAGTGAGATTTCAGCCAGTGATTGGTTCTCTTTCAGCTGGTGAAATTAGCCAGCAGCTGGCTTTTAGCTACGTCCCTGGAAATTCATGCACATGAAGACTACCAAATATCAGTTTCTTGCATTTACCTTTGGAATGTACGGGGTAACTTCCTTTGGACATCTGCACACAAAGGACTCAAAAGCCTGCAAAACAATAAAACAAACTTTGTTATACAATCATTTACTGTCTTACATGTATCTTAAGTAGTACTGCAAGTTTTCTATTAGGCCCTCCAGAAGCTACATGTACAGTAAATATACAATGTATTTTATTGCAGGAGTCAGGGAGGGGGGTGGAAGTTGGGTATTGTTGAGGGTGGCCTCAGAGCAAGTGGAGTACTTTAAATTTATGAAATGTGACTTATTCTCTGGATTGGCATGGCTCAAAATGAATCCATTATTAATAATAATTTCTTTAGTTGTGACTGCAGAGGAAAACATTTAGGAGAGGCTAACAAGACAGAAACTAAAGCTTAGAGTACATGTCCACACTATAATGACAAAATGTTTTGCCCGAAAAGGGAGGCGCTGATATTTGAGGGTGGAGGGGGTCTACATGTGTAGAAGAGGATTTACATGTACAGTGCATTGTACTTTTAGTTAACATTCACTTACTTTAACTATCAGTCTAGTTGCCAAGGAATTGAAAAATCCCATCAAACTGGTCGTTAACTTTTCATCTCACCTGAATGCAGTATTCTCGCAACTCATCATCATTCTCAACTTTAGAATACTGCACTATCATCGGTATGATCCTCTCCAAATGCTCTCCAACTCTGTGGCCTGCTTGGCGACTGCCATGCAAGATATATATTAATTACATTACATACAAAAATATTAAAGTGAAGTTAGGTATAAAGCATTGTTGGATTAATTTTCAAGAAACTGACGACTGCATAGTCAGGGCGGATACAGGATTATAGAGTGGGGGGTTCAAGATACGGAGTGCTGAAGGCAGTCCCCTGAAGGGGGGTTCCAGGGGAATTGAGGTCCTTGGAAATGGGATTTCCAGCATTCTGAGGTCAAGTCAGCGTGTTATAAGGTCTCATTTTTTTCATTTAGGGGGTTCAGCCACCCGAAGTCCCCTAGATCCACCCTAAGCATTAGTCATGCCGAAATATGTCTTTTAAAAGTTGTATCATGAGTTTCTCCTACCATATTGCTCCTATACATTGAATAAAAGTCCTAGTGGTGGAATGTGAGGCATTTTGTTTCAGCTCAGCTAACAAGTGATCCATCAATTCAACAAACAAGCTACTGTTTGCACTTAGCACAAGATGGCCTGCAATTCAAGAACAAAGATTTAGTATTAATAAAGGAATGATCAGGAAATATTCCCAGAAGAACAGAGAGTTTATGTTGTAGACAGGGCTCGAAATTGCAACTCACTGGTCGCCAATGCGACCAAAAATTGAGCACTGGCGACTAAATTTTCAGAACTGGTCGTCAGCTGGTGACTCGCATTTTGTCCGGTAACTAAAGAAAACCTCGACACAACTTTTGTTTTTAAATCTTTATATTAGGAAATCAATTGGATATGGTAGCTAGTTTACAACTCACCTTTCCGTTCCCAGTAAATAATGTCTGAATATTACAAGATAATCGAAAAAATTGAATGTATTTCAAAAGGTCGATACTGCTTTCACGGTGCGCCATACTGTTTCAGCGGCTTCTTCCAAAACTGGGATCGCAGGCGCACTTCAACACCATGTGCTTTTATTTGCGGCGAAAATGGCAGCAGACACCAATCAGTTGAAGGAATTACGAGAGTTTTTACGTGCGGGGAATGAAGATTCAGCCAAAAGGTTAATCCAAACTTTGAATTCTTCGAGGAAAGCAAGTCGAAAATAAAGAACGGCATTTCGAAGAAGTAGCAAAGGGAAAATACGCAAGGATCCGTGTCTGTCTCACAATGAAAACCACGGACTTAAAAACGTTTTATGCTTCGCTTCATTTCAAAATAAAATGACTATGGAGACAACTGTCACCTTTGGACCAGAGACATATGACCTGAGAATAACGGTAGCTTTATAACTAAGGGTTACTCGTGTTGTTTCTTATTGTTTTCGCTCTTCAATTGTGACTTTTCTTACATGCAAAGTAACATATAAAATCGTGTTCTTGTGTAAGTTATTTATAAAATAAGTTGGCAACCAAAATTTACGATCTGGCAACCAAAATTTTTCCGTTAGTCGCCAGCTGGCTCCCGAACGAAAAAGTTAATTTCGAGCCCAGTGTAGATGATGTTTTTCTTTATATTTACACATGAAAGACCCAAAGTTGCACCCATCATTACACTGCACTGCACACTGGAATGCTGATTTTTCAACGGCTTGATTTTTCAAACCTCCTGATCATCGAAACAATGTCTGCTCCCTTGAAAAAAAAACATTTTGAGAAATGTAGCCTAAAATTTCAAATCTCTTAATGTTTTGAACCAATCACCTTTCTCCAGAGTGGTTTGAAAAATTAGGATTCTACAATGTACCTTAGCTTGGATGGTAATGAAACCATGTTTACTTAACTAAATCAAACTAGAGGTAACTTTCATACCAAGTGCAATGATTGTTCTCTTTCGGACTGCTAGTCTTGCACTCGTTAGTTGTGGCAACAAAGCCTGCTGAATGGACTGGTGATATGATACCAAGAGACCTGAAAATATCAGATTTTCACATATGCGATGTACTGTACATTTTCACTCTATTACAGAAAAAATGTACAAACAAAGCTTGATCTCACATTACCACATGTAGGCAAGATCTCAGTGAAGCCATCACCATTTAAGATTAACGTAATAGTGGAATAACAAGTCCCTCACTCGATGGCTTAGCATATACACTGTACATGTAATATGTGCCTGCAGACGTTTTGCTCATTGACCATATTTTTGTGCTATTACTAAAATACTACCAACACGAATCACTAAAACAATATTATGTTAAGCCATCAAATACAGGTTGTAAGGATATACACACATGTACAGTGTACTGTATTTGACTGGTGTAAAATCATTCTCACCCTTTATATTTACCCATTAGGTTTAAATAACAGCCAAAGCAGACTGACAAGACCGGTTAACACATCTCTAAATGTACATCACGTAACATTACTACTTATATGTGTCACATAATAGTACCATTGATTGCAATTCTATCCAGCTTATGGGTCATCTGCTTCCAAGTCACTCTGGGTGCAGCAAGTAATAAATGGAAAAGGGCTTATCCAAGTCAAAAGCTCAGCAACAAAGCAAATTTTGACACCTTTGAAGAGGCTTTTT